GACCGTTATTCACATCATGTTTTTGAAATACAGATTGTTGAAATTTTTCAAAACATGGTAGGTTTTTGTCATAAGTTTTTTGCAATTTTAGTTGTTTTCATCAAACTGTTTATTCAGTATCCCTGTAGGTAAAGACTTCTTCTAAACTGAGCATTATCGAACTGCTTATTCAACCCAAATTGAAAAAAATTGTCAGGTTTAATTATTCAATTAGAAAGTACTACATTTCGAAGTTTGTAAAAAAAAACAATTCGGAGAAGTACTATGTTATTTATTAGGAAAATAAACATATAAAAATTGAACGAAACAACTATTACAACAACTGTTCAAAGTGACGACCCATAACAGTAATACAAGCTTCTGTTCTCCTCATAAAAGAATTCCGCACCCGTTGAAAAATGCCCGGAGTGTTTCTTATCGTTTCGCCGCAAAAGCTATGGGAATGGGATGGGAATGGGAACATCTTCCATAAGTTGGGGAAGCTCGTGTTCCAAAAAATGTAGGTAAGCATCTCCATTCAAACGTAAGGGGAGAAAATAGGGCCCAATTGAATAATCCCCAATTATGCCTACCCATACATTGAAAGAGAATTTGTCTTGGAAATGAGTTTGCGTTGTCGCATGTGGGTTATCTTCCGCCCAGATGTGGTTGTTATGGAAGATCATGATACCATTTCTTGAAAAATTAGCCTCACCTATGAAGAGGATTTTCGATAAAATTTGCGAATGTTGTTCGACTTTTTTTTGAAGCCATTGAGCAAATTACATGGTTGGAAATCACGTAGCGTAAGTGTCTGGACACGCTAAATATAATAAGGATATAATTGTTGTTCCTTTAAAATTCTGTAAACTGTCATGTGACTCACATTTAAAGTTTGAGTAATTTTTCTTGTACTCGCGTCTGGATGTTCACTAATTTCTTCGAGAACTACTTCCTCCAATTCTACAGTTATTGTAGACCCTGGCCGTCCTACTGCAGAATTTGTTTCATAGCTTCCAGATTCGGAAAGTCGCCGGAAAAGATTCGCAAATGTCGCTGCACAAGGAGTCACGCGTTGGGGATACCTTTCCTGATAGATGCGTCTGGCCTCGCTTGAATTTCCGTCAACCAAGCTGTTTGCAAAAACAATATCAGCCATTTCAGCATTCGTAAGGTCGGGCATGGTACCAAAAAATCACTTTATAAACTCCGAACTGTGAATTTGTCAGTTAATAGTAAAAAATGTGACAGCGAACTTCTATTTTTATAAACAAACTTTTTTAGCCTACTCGATTTAATTAACTTAATTTGCAAGTGGAGAGTGACAAAAATTATTGAAATCAAACTTCCCGTATCTCCGAAACGAAGCATTTTCGGACACAAGTTCGTATAGACTTTTTTTAAATTGTCTCAGGAATACGTCATTTGAATATTTTAACGTACTTATGTTACAGCCTGTATATTAAAAATACAAATAATAAAATGAATTAGAGAAAAATGCTCTTACAGAATTCTTTTAAACTATAATAGGATGTACCACATAATTAATATTTCACCGAAAATTAGAGTGTTCCTGCTAAAAGTTAATACTGCCAAATAAATGATTATAAACATCTCAAGACCAACATTATAATATAAGGAGTCTTTGACTGAAGTAGAGGCTGGTATGGTTAATCTTAGGTCATTAGCTCAACGAAGGGCATAATTATTGAAGCAGCTATATGTTTGTCAATCAAACAGACTGTTTCTAAAGACTCAAAATTTTATATTGTTCAAACTAGGGTTTGAAGGAGTCTCGCACATGAATCTTATAGCTTCTGTGTAATGAAAACAATCTGCAATTGAGATTTGCAACATACTATATCCAGAAACATATGTGGATGAACTGCATGTGTGGATACATTAATGAAAAGCCAAAAAATCATGCACATTGAACTCACCTTCATAAAGTCTAGTCGGTATTTGATATAATTCGTCGAATGCAATGAAGACAGTCACAATATTTTAAGATCGTCCAAAAAATGTCAGTTTAAAAACTAGTCTTTTCATTGGCCCCGCAATACGTTCAAAACATTCGATGTGAATAGACCTCCGACTGAGCAAGCAAGCCTGAGTCTACCTGTACAACATTCTCTATGAGAAATGATAGGCGAAAGCAATTTACTTAATAACAACTTAAGAACACGTTGCATTTTTTTAGGTACTTCTGTTTATACTGGTAGTTTGATATTTACTCGATTATTTATATTGATTTACAACCTTGATTTATCTCTATTTTGAGTCCAGCAGTCTGAGATTTAGTTTCTGTTTATAATTTAAACGTGTAAATTTGTTTTAGTCTCTAAGTGTTAGTTAAGCAATACAAACTCTTTAGTAAAATGTTTATTAAAACTAGTTAGCACCAACAAGTCGATATTAGGGTTTTTTGTACACACGCTCGGTTAGAAGTCAACTCCGGGGAGATGCCTCTCCGGACTCCGGATTCTGCAGCCCGGGCATGCGTCTGCACAAGGACGTCGTCCTACATCGAATACGGGATCGCACAGTGGCGTAGAGTCGACTATATGAAAGAGAAATCCTCGTCAGCGAAGTCCTATCTTTCAGAACCAGTTCGAACATTAATGCCATGTTTAGTTCGGAGGCCATCTATGAAATCGACAGAGAACTAAATCCTCTAATGTTAAAATGAGACTCCCCAAAGTCAGTTACAAAGCCAAGCTGCAGTGGAAGACATAGGAAGAATCTTGTCGGCGATCGATGTGGAAGCTTGGCTTTGCAACTGACCGCTTCGTGGAGCCTCATTCATCTTCGATATTCGAGGATTGAGTTTTCTGTCGATGACCTCATTTAATCAGGCTTGGTCTTTAATGACAGTAGAGACCAACAATGCATTCGTGATCCATACACATAATAGTGTGTAAAAAGATAATATTGAAAAAAATACTTAGTGAAACTGCAGTTTTGATGATAACGAATGATTTTAGTGACCGCGTAATTCATAATAAGTATACATACAATGCCACAGATTTGGGAACAAGAAATTTGGTGAAAATATTTCTCTTTCACATAACCCTCAGAAAGATTAAATTTTATCGATTGGCAATTGAATTTCATTTGATTATGCCCATACATAATTTCTGAAAGCTCGTTTGCAAGTGGTTGACAATGTTTTGTGGTGTATTTCATCAGTTCGGACTTTGAAAAAAGTCTATTTTTCGGAAAAAGAGAGATCATCGCTAACACCGCACCACAGTAAGCACCCTCAATTATATGAACTACCAAAAATCCAAAAGAAGGATGTTCCACTCAGACCGATCATTAGCTCCAGAGATTCAGCCACTCAGAACTTGTCGAGATTTTCACTACCAATAATTAAACCATTGCAAGGTAAAACATCATCTTTTGTGAAAAATTCAAGGCATTTCGTTGAACTACTCGGGGAAATCGAAGTCAAAGAGCAGGATCAAGTGATCAGTTTCGACGTGGAAAGCCTCTACATCAACGATCCTGTCGAAGAAACACTTCAAATCATACAGAAGAAGATATCCGAAGATGGGGACCTGAAAGATAGAACAAACTTACCGATACAAGTAATCATGGAATTACTAGGATGCTGTGTACGAAACTGCTACTTCCAACTGAAGGACGAATTCTTTACGCAAGATGAGGGACAGCCAATGGGATCGCCACTTTCACCAGTTATAGCTAATTACTCTGGCCATTGAAGAAGCCCACAAAAAGCCCCCAGTCTGGTTGAGATACGTAGACGACACCTTCATTATATGGAACCATGGGAATGCAAAACTAGACACTTTCCTGAAGCAAATCAACAACGTAAGTCCATCCATCACTTTCACAATGGAAAAGGAAGTACACAACGAATTGCCTTTCTTAGACGTATTGTGAAGAGGACCGACACTAAATGGGAAACATCTGTATATCGAAAACCCACTCACACAGGGCAGTACCTGAACCAGAAATCCAACCATCATCAATCGACTAAGAGAGGAATCATCAAGACTCTACTAGACCTTGCCTTCGGGCTCTGTAATACAAAGGAAGGTCTCGAAAGGAAAACGACCTTCAACGGAATGGTTATTCCAGAGTGATGTTGGAACAGGCTTTAGCTAAAGACAGCAATCCACAAGGAAGAGAAGCCTCCATAACTATTACTTGTACTTCCCTACATCAGAGGATTATTGAAAAGGATACGAAGGATTGGGTCCAAGTATAACATCAGGACCTGCTTCAGATCTGGGAACTCTATCCGTAGCAGCCTCACGAAAACCAGGCCACCAAACGCGGACTGCGATTCCGAAAATTGTATTTACCGGATACCCTGCGAGTGCGGAGAATCATACATCGGTGAAACTAGGAGGCCATTGAAAGTTCGCATTGCTGAGCACAAGAAACACACACAGAGAGGAGAAACCAGCAAATCCGGAATAGCAGAGCATATTTGGGCTCATCAACATAATATCAAGTGGGCTCAAGCTGAAATCATCCACAAAGAGGAATACTGGTTTGACGCATTTAGTCAAGCTAGCGTAGAGATACGTAACATATGGAAACCTCTAATCAAACGAAAAACGACCAACTCCCGCCAAACGGTCATCTCCCGCTAAAAACCAATGCAGCGGACAGAGAGAGAAGAGGGGATAGGTGAAAGCACTCGAATGGCCTATAAATAGTCGGATCTCGGAGGAATAAGTCCATTTATCACCCGAAGACGATTGTGGTTACTAACAATCGAAACGTCGTGACATAACTTGGTTTGAAATCTTTTAATTTTTATTTTTATTTTTCATTTTCTGTTAATAATAATTTTTAATTTTCAGCTTTTATTAATATTTCAATTTTAATTTTTTTGGTTGTGTTTGGTTTTATGTTATTTTTATGTAATTTCAGTTTTTTTGTTCGAATAAAATTGTTATTTTCGGTTAAACTTTTTAATATTTTCTCAGGAATTTCAAATCAATTTATATTATATTAGACAATGGAAGTCCGAACTGATGAAATATTCTGATAGCTCATTCTCAAATGAACAGAACAACTTGATAACAAAATTGCACTTTACTTATTTTTTAATTGGATCCTTTTGTATAGTTTGAAATGAGATTTGAAACGTAGGGGAAACTGGGTATAGTTGTTTCACGGTTTGGTTGTCATAGCGGCCATATTGAAAAGTTGAACGAATGAAAGAGTTTATCGAACCGTGAAAGGAATTTCTGGCAAAAACATAACAATCTGCACTGTTAGCAGACAAGCCCTATTAGCCTTGAACAGACAACGTGTAACCTCAGGGCTAGTACTAGAGTGTCACCAAGATTTAGCCAAAGCCTCGGTAGATAATAACATTATCCTGAGGCACGGCAGAAGTAAAGGTAATCACATTTCCGACTCTTCAGCCAAGGAAGCGGCCGGACTAAGAATTTTAGGACCCAGTGGCATCCACGGCCTGATGACTTCGACAATTGCAAAACTAGCCAAACGTCACATCCATGCTCAATCTCTAAAGAGATGGGATGAACTCAAAGGATGCAATCTTGCCAGGATCACCCTGGGCGAAGAAATATCTGGTCATGACCAGGAAAAATCTACGCTTAATAGTAGGATCTCTGACTGGCCACTGTCAACTAAGGAAACACCTCCACAATATAGGGCTAGTGAACACACCTCAATGCAGGATGTATGACCAGGAAGATGAAACTGTCAGGCATGTCCTATGCGAATGTTCGGAGGTATCGTCAATAAGAGAGTGTGTGTTCGGCGAGTCTTGGCCTACACCTGCCAATATAAAGGAGATGTCTCCCAGATGTCTCCCAGTGTCCCCCTTCCTGGAAAGGACAGGATGGACGATGACCTAGGAGGACAACTCCTCGGAAGGATGTACAATGGGTCATTTGTAGCCTAAGTGCTGTGGGCCTACACTCACCCTCCCTTCTCTGCATATAAAGATACAGAAGAGTTTATCGAACAAAATCGAAGGATCGCGAGAGCAATTCCTCCATTCAAACGTCACTTCAATTCACTTCAGGGAGATGCGTACATTTGATTTTTTCGGACGGCGAAGGTAAATTTTGGTTCATTTGTGTCGAGTCTGTATACTATAATTTTCCGTAGATATATATTATTTCATGTATTTTTGATGAGACATCTGTGGTTCATGATATCACTATCCATTTTTATGAATAATTATTGATTCAGAGTTATTTTAGGGGGTTATGTTTTGAAATGTGTTTTGGGACTCGTTGTCTCAACTTGACGAGGGCTGATAGTCACATGTGACAACCAACACTGTAATGTCAGTAGGAATGTGCCTGGACTATAATAATTGTATAAAAAGTTATCTGTGACGTCCTTGGACAGGGCTCTGTGATTTGGTATTTTAAAATTGGAAAATATAGTTATTGAATGAACCTTGAAGGTGTTTCATTTAGATGGATGACAGACATCACAAACACCATATATATTTGTATTGCTTTTTTTGTTGGCTTTTCCAACTTCTGATGAATACAATTTTTGTGGGCTCTTCCAACTTCTGATACATACAATTTTGTTTGTTTTAGAGAAAATCATAGAAATGTCATGGCATCATGTGAGAAAGTGTGATCGACTAATATTTCACGCAGATAATTGATTTTGGGATTAATTATTATCGCAGTCTGACACTGTTTTATAAAAATACACTGTCGAAGAGACCAGCAACACGGTGTTATCAATACTATCAACAAAATTTGTTATCAAAGGTATAGGCAAATATTCACTGACAAATAGAAAAAATAATTAGAAAAATAAATACTTACCTAGTATTCATTTTGGGTCATCCCTAAAGAATAGTCAAAAAACAGCGTTACATTTGCCAGATTACATTTGCCATAATTGTGAATTTGAATATTCACTGAATTTAAGACTGACTAATTAATAATTTCGCTAGGATGGCTATTTTTAGTTTACAAGCATTGCGGCCTAAAGGACCTATGTTTTTGGTATTGTAGTTTCCAGATGGATGTTTTTTCATTTGGAGCAAATATGTTCTTCCTACGAATGAGACACTTTTATTATCTTCTTGAGTATAATAATTAATTGCCTATATTATACCACTTTCATTAAAATATTCATTCGAATATATTTATACCCCTCAATCACCTTTGTGACTACCTACCCCAGCCCCGGCCCCAGGTTAAAAGTCACACTTTCTCTTTTCCATAAGAGTTGTTATATTTCCTTTATCGATGATGTTGGAGAAAAATATGTTTATGGATCTTTTGAATCAATTGGCATGACCCTTTTTGAAAATTCGATGACGTTTCATGACATCGTGAGTCCGAGGAGCGAAGAGTCGCTTCGCCCTCGCTGAGATACGCCACTGGGATTACTCCTGCAACCATAGTCGCCGAAATGTGGGCGCTAATAACCCTGCACGCTGCTCGGAACTTTAAGCTTTTGCTATCTCCACCCGATTCGGTGCGAGGAAAAGCACCCACACTTATACAAATATCCTGTGGGTGGTCCCGTGTGATAGAGAAAATCGGATTCTTGATTAATTTTGTTGTCGTTGTTGTTGAACAGAACTGCCAATATTCAAGTTACAGAGTATGTGGTAGAGCTGTCATCAGGAGAAGTTTCAGATGAAGATATGAAGTTATGTGAAAATATTTCCTATGAAAAATTTAGTTATTGATGTAGTGGAATTTTTTAAATCATCCACAATTTTAGTAGGAGGGACGGGTATCGAAGTTGATATCAAAACGACGCGCATTATATTTAACTTTATTTGGAACAATCATGAAATACAAATCAATTCAAAGAACTAAGATTATAAAAAAAAGGAAAGAAGAAAAAAAATCACATCAAAGGTGCTGTTCCCTCCTGTTCATAAAAGAGGACATATGCTTCATCGCTCACAAGTGATTTAGGCGAAATTGGGAACACGTGTGAATCGTAGTATTCATGCCACGTGCCACTATATGGGTGTCTGCAATATGCTGTGTAATATCCGTTGTAAGTAGTCCCACTGTGATTGGAAAGTGCATATAGATTATAATGGCAAGGAGCCACATTGTCTGCTGCATAACTGCTCATATCTAATCCATCTGAAGAAAAGTCAATGGAAACAATCAATTAACCTCTGAATCTTTCTGTTGGAGAGAATATTTTCAAATGAATTACTAAAATACGGGGAAACTTATAGATTGATAAGGACTTTGTACATTTTCTCCTTTTCTTGCACCTCGAACACATTGGTTTTTCATCTCCATCCAGAGTTTCTTCTCTTGTGAAAGAATCCAAGCAATGTGACAAACTCAATTGGCCAGTTCTTTGTGGTATGGGAAGAGATAAATCCCAGAAAGGATCAAAGGTTACTGATGAGTGTCCACAGTGTGTGCACTTCATAATGGATTTTAACTGACCAACGAAATAGTCTACAATCTTGGAGTTATTCATATTCAAATATCTCTGCCAGGATTCTTGTGCTTTTCCGTTATCGCTCAATTTTTCGTCAATCTCAGTTAAGATCGGTTTAGATTTCTCAGTAATTCTGTTGAGGTCCTCATGTAAACCTTCTAAAAGATATCGAAGGAATTCGTGGGTGTCTTGATGGACAGAACTCATGAATCGAGGGGCAAATCTTTGAATCTGATTGTTGAAGTAGACTGTGTTAATTACTTTATCAGATGAATATTCTGACCACAATTCCTTGATAACTTCTGCGAACGCTTTGATTAAAACACCTTTCATACTAGAAATACTAGTATTGATATCTTCCATGTATGTATCATTTTTTAAGTATTCCAGAAACCAGCCAAATGCGCAAACTGTCTGGGAGCGCACCCGGCAACTTACAGGGGGTGCAGGATGTTTCCCAAGCCCAGACAAATACAACCAACAGAAATAGGTCTCGACAAGCGGAAAGTCAGAGGCCTAGACAGCAGCCGTCAGCAAGGAAGACGACTTCGCCAAGAACGCAAACGGACAGCAGTAACGACCTAATAAACGACGCCCCGTTCACGGACGAAGTAGAAGAAATAGAGATACAGGTGGAAACAACGGCACGTAGACTCAGAAGACAGCAAAGGAACAACGCGTAACCTCTGGCACCAACATCTCTGGAGGAAGTGAAAGACATCGTAAGACTTCTAGCTACTAGGAAAGCCCCAGGCCCAGACCAAATAACAAACCGGGCCCTGAAAGTCCTACAACGAAAAGGTATAGCAGCTAAAACAAACATCATACATGCTATACTCAGACTGCAGCACTTCCCGTACCCGTTAAGGAGGCGACGGTTATCCATATCCCGAAGCCAAAGAAGGACCACCTATTTCCAAAAAACCACAGGCCAATCATTGAGCATTCGCTTGGAGCACGCCGTGAATAAATATTCAAGAAACGACTGTTCTTTAATGGAAAATAACTTGTTCAATTAATTGTTATTGAAGTGAAGTAAAATTAGATTGTTTTTCGAAACTGTTTTTTTTTTGAAAAACAGTTTTATGAATTCCAAATAAAAATTTCATATTGATTAAGTTGAAGATATCTACGGTAAGCTCTATATTTGGTTGTAGAGATAACAACCTAATACCACCCGGATTCTTGCGAACGTACACAAAATTCTCTGAGGAGAATATAACGGCAATTTGTTGTTTTTTATAAACAAAGAATGAGTATCTGTCCCTCCTACTCCCAAAGCCACCTGCAACGTGGCGAAGAACTCTTGGGGTTCCTAGTCCTAGACAACTTAACAAAGAACTCTTGGGTTCCCGGGCCATGTAGGCAGCGGTTACTTCGAGCAAAAATTGTCTCAGAGATTGGTTGGACGATTAAATTATTGCACTCGAACACTGCAACTTATCTACATTTTCATTGTTTTCGTTTCTTTGCTTAGGTTACAGAAGTTTAATATTCTGTGCCTGTGGAACAGTATCACTGTGAAAAAGTGGCAAAAGCTAATTTTGGTTAGAGAGAGATCAGTCTCGTGGTGGCCGTGGTAGTGGACGGATGTGCTGATAACGTCCGTCCACAAAGAAGGTACGCGGATGCCATGTGCTATCGTGGAGCTCCGTTTTGTGTTGTGCTAGTCATTTGTAATGAATACTGAAATGTGTGAGAGTTTTAAAAAGTAAAGTTTAAGGGCCCCTTTATCCAGTCCGAGGTGGTTCGGATAACCACGTAAAGGAGCCATGTATGTGAATTTAAAAATCCGGAGGTCTCCCGAAGAGACGGCGACCCAATAAATATATGTTAAAAATCGAAAGGTCTCCTGAGCAGTAAGCGACAATAAAAAAGTAGTGTGCTTTTTTATTATAAAAAGTGTGATAAAAAGGGGTGGCAGCACTGCTTCGAGCAAGACCGCTGCGCCCCCCCGACGAAGCTTCTGTCAAATTGATGTCAATTTGATAGGAGGAGCCTGGAGCCTGGACAAATGCGCTCGAGTGGGAAGATTGGGAAGCAACGTCCATTAACTTAGAGAGCTGAGTTTGTGTTGTGATATCCGCTGTTTTATAACGAGCCAGCAATCGTAAAAATAATAGTGTTAATAAAAATTGTTTGTGTTTGTGTAAAATATTTATAATACCTGCTCCCATTCACGCCGGTTGGAGGCCGGACACTGGATGTCCACGTGGGAGTGGGATCGCAACAATACTATTTTATGAAGAAGATAATAGTTTTATTTCCAAATCTAATTAAGAAAACAAGTCTTGGATTACAGCATGGTTCATAATCAGACCAAGCTGTAATCATCCGAATCGAGCTGGCTAAATGCACCTATCTGGAAGCAAAGGTCAAGAACTTTGAGTGAAGTGAGTGAACTTCGAGAGCTAGAGAGAGGTTAAGTTTATAGAAGTTATAAAAATTCAAGAGAAGATAAGATAATTATCAAGGAAATACATTTCCACAATGAATTCATTAACCTGTCACACTTGTATGGTATTATTCCAAAATGCAGAAATACACAAACAGCATTTCAAAACAGATTGGCATCGGTATAATCTTAAAAGAAAAATTGCAGAACTGCCTCCTGTTGCAGCAGAAGAGTTTCAGACAAGAGTGTTGAACCAAAGAAATGCCGATGATGTTTCTAAAAGAAATGAAGACATATATTGTTCATCTTGCCAAAAGTCGTTCCACAATCAGAATTCATTTGAGAATCACTTGAATTCAAAAAAGCATAAGGATAATGAATTTAGGAGTGCTCATAGTAAGTACAATATCTATTACTAATATGATTTGCAATGACATTGATATTTCCAGGTTCCGAGAATGGAAATGATCAGGAAGTTGCAAGTAACATGGAAGATGACCCAGAAGTTGAAGAAGTTGATTCTGATGAGTGGGAAGACGATACCGAAAATCCCATAGATAATAATGACTGCATTTTCTGTTTGCACCACAGTCGTAACTTCTTGAAAAATTTAGAACATATGACTGTTGCCCATTCCTTCTTCATACCAGATATTGAATATTGCACAGATGTGGAAGGTCTATTGAAATATTTGGGGGAGAAAATATCTGATGGTGGGTTTATCAATTAAAGCAAAATATCTTTGAAGATGAAATAACTGCTAAATATTTTTTAGGATTCATGTGCTTATGGTGCAATGAAAAGGGTAAAACCTTTCATTCGGCTGATTCGGCCAGGCAGCACATGTTGGACAAAGGACACTGCAAAATGATTCATGAAGGTGTGGCCTTAGCAGAGTATGCAGACTTTTACGATTATTCCTCCTCTTATCCTGATGCTGAACACGACATCGATCCAGATGAAGAGGTAGAACTTCAACTGATAGATTCCACCTTTCAAAACTAGATATTTTTCAGGTCTCTGTAGATGAACTGGATACTTCTGACTACCAACTGGTGCTACCATCTGGAGTCACAGTTGGGCACCGAAGCCTCATGAGGTACTATAAACAGAGCTTAAATCCAAACCGAGCTGTTGCAGTTCCGTCAAATAGTAAAAAACTGCATAAGGTACTGGCTCAGTATAGATCGTTGGGTTGGACAGAGACTCAACAAGTAGCAGCTGCCAGGTATTTGAAAAATCTGTTGAATATAATTTAGGTTAGGTCGAAAATGAGTGGGTTTATTCGACCCTCCACCGCAACCCGAAAGGGTTTATTGTGGCTCACACCTATTCACACTCTACCAAATGAACACAGCTTCTCAACGAAGCCGATTAGTTTGTATACTGTGTGGTCTTTCAGGTCAGATGGCAAGAGTACGGCTCTGCTGAACTCTGAAAAAGTATGGCTCTGCCGAACTCTAAAGACCTGATTCGGTCCCCAGCGGGGCCGGCACAAAGTATATGCTCTGTTAATGAGATAATGGGGTAGTCAAGTTGCAAGGTTCCCACCTTGATACCCACGAGAACTTTCCCATATGAGGGTTTTTGCAAGTCAGCTACACCTGACGATGCCTTAGATTCAACCGTACAGGGCCTTTTCCCCTCTGGTTTTGGTGAATCATCACTTGAGTGCAAACGTTTGCTAACCTGCTCATGGGGGGGTTTGTTGCCCCACCTGAGACAGATTCTACGTACGCCGGTCAAGAATTTGGTGCAGTGTGGTTTTATAAGGTACCCCGCTCTTGAGGAGACGACTCAGTCATTTCCTGGCTGTACCACCAAGCCTTCAGTTGTTGGATCAGGAATTGGGGAGTTGAGAAGCTCTCGCTTCTGAACTAAATTTACAGGGTGGTCAGTTGGAGACGTAAACTCGACATCCATCTCCTTTTAGACTCACTCCTGAACTATAGATTTCTTATTGTACGAATTGAAGTAGTTTAGGATGCACAATGCTGATATATGCCTTGTTGTTTTTTCAGGAAAGCTAGGGATATCCATTATCTCAAAAGGATCCAGTCGAAATATAAGATGAAAATGGGACTAAAGAACAACCAAATTCTCCAGAAACACTTCAGAAGACAAGTTCAGTTTTGAAGTATTTTTATTAGTTCTATAATTTATGTTGATACTCTATAATTAGGTGAAACATATTTTGGTTATCCACATCAGTTTGTTCTACACATGATCAGGTATTTTATGGAGAAAGTTTGAGAAAGTGTTTGTTTTATATTTTATGTAAAAATAAAAATGTATAAAAATATATTTTGGAAAATAAATTTAGATGGAAATCACAAACACGACTGGAAGTAAAAAACAGAAATTGAAGTGAAAAACACAATTGTTTGGAAATGAAAATAAATACGTCGATTTGAAAAGGAGAGAAAAGTGGGATAGTGACATGAGTGAAAGGAAAATTATAACAAATTGATTATTTTGTTAGTAATATCTAAACCGAAAAATTTAACGAAGACATTGTTGAAATGAATCTTGGGAATCATCTTGGCTCAATTTTCATCTTTAACAATTTTGCTAGGACGATGAATTATAACCATAAAGTTCGAAAAATTCCTTTCAGAGATTTTTCTGAAAATAATTTACTAAATCTTCAACACTACATGCCTGTGGAATTGAATGACTCAAGAGTACAATCACCTTATGCCACTGTCAACATTTCAAGTGTTTTGAGCCTCTTACCAACAAACTGAACATGCTTAACAGTTAAAACTGTGAACATATATTGGAGACTCATGAAAATATTTAACTAAGACCATCAAGAGCTGTGACTAGGAATATAAGTTTCGCTTATCATAATTCGAAATGGATCACTAGCTAGCAAGCGCCAGTAGTCTATCACACTCCTTTTCCCTGAGTTAAATAGAAGCCCAGCAAGAGGCTATGCTGAGCTTTTCAACTTGTACATTATATAACAATTATTCAATAAGTGCGCTAGGACAGTTTTATTTATTGAAACAGATACAGTTTTCAAGCTGGATCATTATATAGTTGAAAATTTCAGTACGCCTCTAAATAGGAACTTTTTATTTCACCAATTCTTTAATGTAGGTTATCACTTGTAACTCATCATGACCACACCAAGTTCAGATCTTGCTCTGAATGAAAGCAATGTTTTGGTTAGTTTCCGAATCAACTGATACGTTGATAGGTCAAGAAAAGTACTTCGACCACGCCACTGAAGACGACTGCCACAGTTGCTGTTGTAAAGCTTGGGAATTGTGACTAAAGAAGACCAGGGTAAAACCCGGAAACCAACCAAAAAATTGACACCAGCCGTAATAACCTACATTTCTATAATAATGATATTTCGGGTATGGTATCGGTTTGAGATGTAATAAACAAAATATTTTGAAGTTACAACTTTATTCTTGCATTTTTCACCTCCCTTACAATCAAAACAATAACCAGTGTACATATTCCAAACTTTTCAATTTCCTTTCTATAACCAAACTACTACAGCAAATTTCAAACAAAAACCCTCCAATTACAAAGCTTTTACTTTCAGTTGCTTCATTTTTGGCCCCCTTTTTTTGGCTAGCCTTCTCTCTTCCTTCAATTCCCACCGTCTCTGCCTTTCTGGATCTTCTTCAGCCAGAATTTTCTCCTTCTCCTGACGTCTTTTCTCCTCTCGCTTAGCCGCAGCCGCTTCGGCCCTAGCCTGATGCGTGGACTTCAAGAAAGCTTCTTCAACTCGTTGTCGATTCTTGTCAGCTTTGGATTTAGCTGAAAAGGATATTCGTTCAAGAACAACACAGTTAGAGCTCGTCTTGATTCTCACCTTCTTTAGACAATCTGAATCGTTTTATTTTATCTATGCAATAAAACACCATATTCATCACTGGATTCAACTTGGTACAAGCCTCTTCAAGGGACATTCCTTTCACAGGAATATTGAATCCAAACTTAAGCACCTTAAACAAAATTATATCAACTCAATTTCTCAATTCAATTTTTTCAAAAATCAGTGAATTTGATTTTTTTTTTCGTATCATCAAGGTCATTAAAATAGTTCAGAATTTTACAGAACTTGAGCATATACTTCAATTGGAAACCACTCCTGAAATGCAAAGAATTTTCCCTTCTTCTACAGCAAATCAAAATAGAAATTTTCAAATAAGCAATTCCTGAGAAGGTTGGATAAAAGAGGAAACATTGCATAACGAAAGGAATCAAAAAAAATCTGAGTTCATTACACCAGAAATTTCATTAAGAGCGAGTATTTTCTGAACTACTATCAAAGTAATATACTCTCACCTATGAAATACATCTTTTGGTTATTTAAATGTGAAATCTCTTATTAGCCATTTTTCAGATATAAAAGATCTCATTGTCCAAGGAAACCATGATATTTTTGGAGTTGTTGAAACATGGCTTTCTGATACCATACCAGATGAACATATTCAAATCAATGGTTACAAGTTCATTAGATGTGATAGAGAGTTGTCATCATCAGTGCCTGACAAGTGACAGTTGCCTGACAAGTGAGCACTGATGATGACAAAAGTCGAAAGCGCTTTGCAAGAATTTTAATATATTATACACTTTAATACAAAACCTCTTCGATTCATTATTATAACAGTAATTCAAAAAATAATATATCTATCAACAAATTTCACTTTGAGCCGATAACAGAAAATATTGTTTACAAATGTATTTTAGAAATAAAAACAAGAGCCATAGGTTCATATGAAATTAATATAGATATGCTACTTCTTTGCTGAATTCCTTTAATATTTTACCAATCAACCAGTCAGGATTTCGTAAAGAACACAGCTGTGCAACTGCTTTCTTGAAAATAACTGATGATATTTTCGAAGCTGCTGATAAAGGTAACACGACTGCTTTGATACTTATAGACTTCTCCAAAGCTTTTGATAATATTAGTTATCCAATTTTATTTGCAATTTTGAACTTCATTGGGTTTTCTGAACCTGCTATAAATTTAATTAAAAGCTATTTTAAAGATTGTTCACAGTTTGTAGAAACTTTGAAGGGAAAATCGAGCGGTGAATTTATTAAACTTGGAGTACCTCAGGGATCTATACTTGGACCCTTATTATTTTGCATATACACTTGTGATCTAGTTTCTGTTTCAAGAGATTGTAATTCACATATGTATGCGGATGACACACAACTGTATCTATCATTTAACCCTAATTACGTTGCTACTGCTAATCAAAAATTAAATGAAGATCTGGCTCGTGTTATTTCAGCATCTGAAGCTCATAACCTCAAAACCAATTCAAACAAAACTAATCTGCTTGTTTTTGGTACTAATCGTAGCTTGGTGGAAAGACTTATTAATATTGTTATTGGGGATGCAGAAATATGCCCCAAGAACGTGGCAAAAAATTTAGGTATCGAAATGGACGTGAATTTAAGGTTTACAAAACATGTCACAAAATGTGTTCAAAGAAGTTACATGAATTTGAAAATGCTTTATCCTCATCGTCATTTATTATCAGTAAATTTGAAAACAAAATTAACAAATGCGCTTGTGTTGAGTCATTTTGTATATTGTGATGTTGTGTATGGTTCATGACTGGATAAAAAATATATTTTAGGAATTGAGAGTTTAATTTCATATAAACTTAAGGAAACCAATTGGTTAACTATGGAAAATAGACTTGTTTCACACTTGGCTACCCTCTTTCATAAAATATTGATTAACAAATGTCCATCATATTTGTATGACAAAATAAGATTTCGTAGCGATGTACATACTTTAAATTTGAGATTTAAAGGGTTACTTTCTCCTCCGCCCCATCAAACCACTCTATATCGACGATCCTTCAGTTATAATATATATAGTTTGTATAATAATATTCCACAAAAATATAAATTTTAAAGAACAGAACAAAAGCTTAGTTAATCAAACTTTATCAGAGAAAAAATTTGTGAGAAAATGTGGACGAGGTTATTTAAGTACTATAAGTGCTATGAACTAGCACTGTTCTCATCAGTAGTTTCAGTAAAAAATGATTCATTCATCAAGAAGTAACACCCAATTTTTTTATTTTACAGGAAAATCGAAGTTTCAAAAATCAGTGTGACTTCATTACCATTGAGACATGCCCCTCCTTCACTTTTTTCCTTCAACTTTCGTTATTCTAACATTTCTCGGTTATTGTATAATCTGTTGGGCAATAATTGTTATTATTACTATTAATAATGACTCTGGACTTCATTACACCTGTATTAAGATATTGAATTTCCATTTAAAACATTTCAATCATTAGTTTCCCTTCTGAAAACTTGAAAGATTCTTTGGGAATAAATAATTTTCAACAGCATTCTGGGAAAAATGGAATATTCATCAGCCTACCTTCTCAGTCTCTGGCAATTTTATATTATTCTCCTCAGTTTGTTTGGGACCGGAATACTGGTCAGAAAAATGGATATAATCTACATATTCGGGATATCTATTCAGTACTGCTGTAATCTTGGAATCCAATATTGCTAAAGCGGCCTCAGAGATTTCACTCATCACATTGAATCCTGACGAAATATTATATTTTTCACCTGATTTTCGCTCAGGGCAGTAAACGCTCAGGTCGGCCATTTCTTTCACCAACTGTTGAGAGGTCTTTTTCGAAGCCAAACAGAAAACAAAGCTATCCATGTCCTCTTTGTTCATTTTTACTGTTATAAGAATCTGATCCATTGTTGGACGCATCATTCCTGACAAGACTGCCAAAAGATCTTGACGCTGAAAAGACCAATATCAAATAATGAAAAAATGTTCAAGATCCATTTTATTTGTTCATGAATAATCACCAATTTTCATACAAAAAGTCTATAAATATCATATGGTTAACCCTACTGATAATAGAGCCAAGAGCAGATTGTGTTGGCCAATTTAAAAAACTTTAGATACGGGTAATATAGTTGTTCGTGTGACGGTACAATTTTGCATCTTCAACAAAGTGATTATGTAAATTGAGTGGTAGATGTGAATCGTGATAACACTGACATAAAATAATTATGACAAAATAATTGAAACTTTCGCCTTATTATCAGTTACAGTTTCACGTTTGCTTTTTTGTTAACCAACTGGACTGGTATCAAAATGTTTTACATATGTAATGGAATCGGCCGATATTCGATAAAAATCCATAGCGTTTTCAAGAAACACATTATTGCCAGATGTTCACTTTTAACAGTTTTACCAAAATGCAACAAGTATATCGCATAAAATAGTTTTTGAAGGCGTGTCTCTAGATGCGTAATAATTAAGTGTTGAATTTTCCACATTCATCATTTTGATAGCATTAATAAATAAAATACTCTAATTGAAATGCAAGACATTTTTAGCTGTTTTTTAAATATCCTTCAATGAAAAGCAAAGAAAATACTTTACATCCCTAGAAAATTGGTCAATGTTTCATCATATTTAATTTTTTAACAAAAAAGTTTTTAACTATTTTAAAAATCCCCCATAACTAACAAAAAGATAATCATAGAATGTACAACTATCAATTAGTGTAGTATTTATGTTGTTTGCCTACCTTTATTTGAATAATGATAATCTTCGAAAATTATAGTTATCATAATAGGTACTTTTAAAATGTTTGCTTTTTCAAATAAATTGAAATTAGGACAAAAACTTCAAAGAATATATGAAAACTGAATCTATAAAAATAACAGAACTCACTTTTATCAGCTTCAGCTCCACAAGCATTCCTTCGCAGCAAGTTCTGCCGCTACACCATAGAGTGAATATATTTTCACTCTCTTTAATCAAACTAACATTTTCATTTCTATCTAACGATCCATCATCCCCGACTAGAGAAAAGTTGTCTTCTAATAGTTGTCTATGAGTGTTGAACCATGTATTTGCGATCTTAACATTTTTACTCTTTCCCGTGGCGAAATTGATGAAATATACAATGAGACCTGACATCATCAAGATTTCCAGATAGTAACTATCCCAATTCTGCCGGAAATTCAATGGCACTTTTGCGATGGTTATTTTCGGTTCAATGGGAGGATTCTCATCCTTGCCTTCAAACCCTTCGAACTCTTCCACGTCTTGGAAGTGTTCGAATTCAGAATCGTCGTCATCTATTACTATTTCTTGATCATCGCTCTCCAATTCATCACTTTCTGGGGATATAATGGGTTCTCTAGGAGTGTCTGAAAGATCATCATTCAGTTGCAGTTCGTCTTCCACGTCAAAGTCCTCAAATTCGGCAAATTCATTGTCAGAAGAATCTTCATAACGATTTGCAAAAAGTCCTTGGAAAAGGAACACTAGTAATAATACCTGGCGAAGGGTCATCATAAAAATTGACGGAGTTTGTTTAAAGATTTTTGATAAATATCATCTGAAGAGTAATACTGCAAAACTCTTGTTATTACATAAAACGAAGGTGTCTTGAAATTTGTCTCAATTACGAAATTACCTTTTATTTGAAACGTATAGGTTAATAATTCATACTATGTTACGTCACTAACTGTCACTGTCACTACATTAGTCACTTGTTACTAGTCTGTTCCACAAAACTGGGTATTTGGTATTTCCACAAACTCCTAAATATGAAATTATGGTTTAATTGAAATTGGTATATTTTAAGGAGAGGTTAATTTTTAAGACAGAAAGGATGAAAGAGTAGAAAGCCAAAACTTTTCTTGGAAAAATTTTACTTTATGGGAAACTTAAAACACTTATTTTGGACAAGAAAATCTCCAGGAAATCAATGAGTTTGTTCAGAAATTTCTATTTTATTTTGATATTTTGTGATTTGATATTATTGAAAATTAAGTTTTTGTTGCAATACTATATAATTTTGAGTAATTTTCGAAGATAACAAAAAATAAAAACAACTTTGCACTAAAAACTTTGAAAATAAATTTTCTTTTCAAAAAAATTGACCGTGGTTAACATAAAATTTGTGTAATTTGTAATTTTACAGGTTTTTAAATAGAACCGTCGTATATAGGGTGCTGTCTATTTATCGCTTTGGCAGAAATTGTTGTCCCCATTAAAAAAAATAGTAAAAAATGAAATTTCACTTAGATAGTCATGAATTCAAATCTAGATGTATTTTTCAATGCCAAACAACTTTTCTAAATAACATTTCCCGGGATTTTTCAAAATAAGAGTACTTTACGCTTGTCACAAAATCAAATATTTGAAGGCTCCGCTGGAGCAGATTTTTGACCACAGAATACCTTGCTTTATAATGTACATTCACTTGCAATAAAATGTACAATCCTAATATTTATTATTTACATTAGATTCTACAGATACAGATCAGACTTAACCTCAAATTCTTCTAATGTTTATCCAACTAAAATAACCTTGACAGCAGTGTTGCCGGTTTTCGGATAATTATCCAAATTACGTATCTGAATTGATAGTGGTATATTTTCAGGAGAGAATGATTTTCGGCTGTCTCGTTTATATTATGTGACTAATTTTAAATTGGTTGAGTATAATTCGTATTTGTCTGTACGTGTACGTATATAGGCTGTCTACGTTAAGAAGAGAATGACGTCATTTTTGGTTATTTTGTATATCCAACATAACAACGTTAAAATTCCCACTGAAATGCTTTCAACAGCAATGAAACTAGTAATATTTCATTTTGTAAGTTTCTCAACTGATTGTGAAATTTCAGACGTTGCCGAATCGAAAAAAACTCGAAAACTGTCAGTCTTCCCTTTCTTTTCTGAACTAATCATTCCTTTTGATAAGACCTGCGTTTATTCAATATGCCTAAAGCATTGTCAAAATAGTCCTAACAATTACTAAAAGTAAGTAAGGATAATAGCAATAAAACATATCAACAGTACAAAAAATTTGAAAGTTAGAAATAGTGCACATGTTGGCAACGCCGAAACTTGTCATCTTGTGACGTCATTCTCTTCTTAACGTGAAAAACCTATACCTTTCGTCCACTGTCAACTGTCAAGGTTGTCGTTAACAACTGGCCGGATAGACTTAGTTGCTGAGGCCATTGAATCAAAAATAAAAAGAAAAAGAAGTTCAATTAGATTAACATTCGGAGAGTGTGAAGTTATGTCTGATCTATAAAACAACAGATAACATAAATTATTTAACCTGTGATAAAACTATAAAGTACAAACTCTATTCAAGACCCTATTATTTCAAGTATCAATAAGGTGAATGAAAAGTATAAAGCTGTACAATTGTAAATGGTGAGTTCCTCCTCCTAACTATACAAATTCGTTTTGGTCAATACATTTAAAATTTACACATATTCATTTTCCATTGAAAAACTATTGGTCTATTTTCTACCTATTAATTACTGAAGAACCAAGTTTTTCATGGATTCAACTCTCAACAAAAGTCATAATATACCTAAGATATATCTAAGAATCAAATAGAAATGTTTTGTTTATTTTTTAATACTTTACTGTTGATTTCTAACTTGGTTTCTCTTACAAATTAATGCATTATCAAAGAAAGGACCAATTCATTACAACCAAATTCTAGGGACTATTCTCTACTTACTCATTTGTAAGAAGAATTTGAAAGAATTCAGAGAAATCCATGTATTCCTAGGTTACTGATTAAAAAATATTCAACATTTTTTCTTTGTGAATATGATTCAAATGTTCATTGGTTTAGTTAAAAATTTTTACACTTCGCTTTTTATATTATTGTGAATAAAGGCGCTTATTGTTATCAATTTCATTATTATTATGTTACAGGATATTTTAGTTTGCCCTCTATGTCGCTCAGTACTAGAGCTCCAGCAAATTAACTTGAGCCAAGCTGTATATTTATGTTTGGATTTGAAATGTCCTTACCCAATTGGTCAGAAGTGCATTGCAGTTGAAAAACCTCTGGAAGAACTAGGAAATTCTGTACATTCTAGATCTTCGAAGAAAAAAACAAAAAAATTGGAAACTGCGAAATCTTTAAATGTACCTCCTGCTAATGGTGCAAAGACAAAACTACCCACTGATGACACTTTTAAATTGAATGATTTTCTCTCTGAAGCTTTGGAGAATTTCGATTTACCACCAGATAATCCTATGCCCGTTCATGAAAATTGTGTAATAAACTCTCACAATAATGAGCTGATGCTGAATAATAATGGTTATACTACTAACGATGAGCAGATTTATGATAACCAACAAAAGCTAAACTATAATAGTGAATATATCCAGCCTTATGTGAATCATAATCAACAAATGGTGGATTATAATGGCTTTAACAATGGACAAAGTCAGTTCACTATAAATGATAGCCAGTGTATGATGAATCTTGAAGAAATATTTGACGGATTAATGTAAATTGTGAAGATGCAGAAAAATTAAATTATTTTCCAACTTTCCGTTTTTTATTTGAAGTGTTGACATGAGACTATGCCATTAAAATTCTACTTTTAGTGTTTTTTCTCTTGAATTCGTTCCTGATTGATAAAATGAATCTTGACAAGTTGTCACATTTTTGTGATAATTGCAGCATGATTCTGCTGCTGGATGTACGAGATTTTTTTTTTTTAATTTTATTACCAACTTTACTACCTGAAACCACAAAAACGATAAATTAGATTTCCGTCGTTTGACGACTATATTTTTTTGAGAAGATGATGTCAACTATGACACAAAACTCAGTAGATACGCTCTACTAAGGCATGATGCTTGTTTCCTTGAATATTCAGTGCTACTTCTGATATTTCCTTCAAAAATAAAATTTAGAAAATATATATTTCCCAACGTTCCCACACGGTAGGAACCGGCGAACTACTTCTCTAGCCAATACCACGACGGCATTGGATAAGCTGTGAAGGATGTTGAAATCAATCGAGTACCGACAGCACTGCTGTCCTGTATGAATCTATCCTATACTGACGAGAAATAACAATCGAATACCCGCCTGAAGGTGACTGATTTTAGCGAGATCTTGCTGCGGGATGAACAAGAATTTTGTCTGAGAAAACTGGCACAAGTGTACGTCGAAAATAATCCAATGTCCGTCATGGTATCAGCCAGGGAAGTAGTTGTGAGGCGAGCATTTGATGGATCTCACTGTAGCAACGTTGAAAGAGATGAATCAAAGAGAAGAAGATTTCAATCAGGCCCATCTGCAACTTCACTTGAAAATATATACGAGGTCACTTGATCAGTCATTCCAGAATTATATTGGACTTATTTTCAGATAAGTACACCCTGTATATATTTCAAGCAATTTATCCATGAATATCCCTTCGTACAATCGTATTGGTATAATTGTATAACTGTTTGTTTTGTTAATCTTCATTTAATAGATTATATCTTTAATGGAACTCTGGGCGTTATCTGCTTGTTATCATCTCTATGAACAATTTAATAACAAATTACACAAAGCTTCTTGGATATTGCTATTTTTCATCCTATAACTTGACTTTCGAATTTTTATCGCTGTAAAACTCTGTTTTACTGGCCTTGCCTACAATTTATAGTAAATATGGGATTTCAAGGAACTTTTTAGGACTAACGAAAAGTTATCTTCAAAATCGGTTTTTCATTGTCGAACATAATGAAAAAAATTCCAATAAATTTCCAGCTAGGTCAGGTGTACTTCCAAACTGCAGTTTGAATAGAGCCTAGATGATGACAGTACAACCAGCTATCTGCGAGCGCAGATAATTAATAGAAGATATAGGCACTCCTCAAACTGCAGTTTTAGGAGTGCCTTGAAGATGACAGTACTACCAACTGTCGAAAGCGCTCGCAGATAATTAATAGAAGATATAAAGCTTCAAATCCTTTTTGTAAAATTTAATATTGAAATACTGAAAATAAAAGAAAATTAGTTGCATTATTCAATATATATACAGGCTGATTCACGGTGGATGGCACATTAGACGTTTCTGGTGAACCAGACAACGGATCACTTTGAAAATTTAATGGAGGGCATATTCGGACATTCTCTAGCCAAATAAAATATTTTCGACAATGCGGTGTTGCCGCTTCTATTAGAAAGCAGTAGCAACTTTGATTTTTCAAATGGAACACTCTGTATATAATATTATTTTTGGAATCTCCAACAATTGCCCGACAACTTTTCTTGATATTTCCCTATACCTATCTGTTACCGTTTTCGAAATAAAAATTAATTTCAATTTTTTTCTTCGAAAATCATGATTTCTAAAAATGCCGATATCTTTTAGTTAAGAAGTACTATGATATCGAAATTTGGTTTGGAGTTAGGTGATACTTGGACACTTCCCACACGTCAGCCTAATCTCCGTTACTTCAATACAGGGTGGTAAAAAAATGCAGTTTTTTCGTTTGCTTGAAAAAGTTGCTGAAATTTGATTATTTTAAATGGAACACCCTGTATATTATTGAAAATTCGGAAAGCTGCTGAAATTTGCTTTCTTTCTATGTATATCATACCTATACCTAACTAGTCAAGTTTCGGACTTATGAACATTTATTTGTGAAAATGTCCCTTCAGAATGGTATTTCCATTCGGTATTTGGTAAGCAGGCCATGATTACTATTTGACAGTAGCGTTGTGACATTCTCCTAATAATATCGACATTTTCGTCACTTCAGAAGTTGCAAATACCTTCAAAACGATGGAACAAAACTATTCAAACGAAGTTCTTATGAATTTGTTTATTATTTTTGGATAGTGTGACAAAATTATCAGCAGAACATGTAGAAAGTTCAATGAAATGTGTCCGAATCTACCGCTAATGAACCTCAAGAAATTTATACGAATTCAGAACAATTTCAATGCATTTGGATCAACTTTAAAAGCACCAAGAAACTTGCCTCGACCCGTAACTTTCGAAGACAACCAGATTAATGTCGCTGTAGACGACCCCTCCCGATATAGAAGGTTCCGACACTATGTCGAATGAGGCCCCTATGTCCTCCGTTAACAGATGAATAATATCTTCATCCATCTCACCCCAGCCAGGTAGGGGTACACCGCGAAGGTTGGAGATTTGTCTCTCCTCTTAGATTCTTTCACGGGAAGTGTTCAGGTGACTTGGGCTCATTTGATTACACCAAGAGCGGTACATATCAGAATTACACGACGGACTGTGACTGCTCATCGTTTTGAGGTTCAACTCAACTCCGAACTTCACTGTTTAAAAACTCTTTCATTTGTAGAACGCCGTTTATGTGGAATAAACTTCTTGAGAAAGTTTTTCCAAATGGATTTAATCTCCAGCGATTCGAGTCCAATGTGAATCGCTACTTTCGCACAGGTACCGCTCTTAGAGCGTCTTGAGGATTTTCCTGTAGTGCTTGTGTTTTTTCCTTGAAGATCAGTCTCCGGGAAGTGGGTACTTTCGAAACAGTTTCCGAAAAAATTTATTTTCGCAGTGCCTATATATTTAGATAAGAAACCTGGCCACCCGGTATATTTATACCCAACACGCCGTCCCGTTTTCATTCATCTTCATGTCCCTGTAATACAAGAATGACCGACGAGCAAAAGAACTGAGCGAGCGCACGTCGCCGAAGAAAGAAGAGGAGGAGCGAACTGGCCCACTTTGCTTAACTTTTTCTTCGCCGATAGCCGCGGCAGAAACCTCATTTCTAAATAAAATAAACAGGAACAATGTATCACCGGCAGAACATCGGAGCAGTTTACTTCTTCAGTTCTTCGGTAGCACTGGTGACTGAGTGACCGCGACCACTCGATTCTTCCGCTACTAGGTCACACAGTCTGCAGCTGAATTCGGAATGATTTTGTGCGGTGACAGAGGAGTTCTCTTCGTGTTAACGCTTGGATTATAGAGGCTGCTTTGCCAAAACGATGCAAAATGATACTGAGCTGTTTTGTCTTATTAGTAAGTGATATTGCTATTTTACTACTGATGTCTTCAAAGATCGTCTGTATGATAATCAGTTCTGAATTACCTGGAGCGAGATTGTGATCTAACTGTTTTGCAAATCTTAGACCTTTGCTGAAGTCTTGGACCAGGTTTAGTTCTTTTAAAGTTCAAGTAAATGTACGTTAGATCTTCATTTAATTCCAGTTATTCATCTCACCTTCAAATTCATTTCTCCTTTACAATCGCAGATTATGCGTGGAACTGCAAACATTAGTTGAACATTGGTTTTTGAACTTTCTCTGGATTTTTCACCATCCACGAACTGAAAAATAAACGAAGCCAAATCAACATATAATCTGTTAAATTGTCATATAGAGGACACTAAACAACTAAAGAGTCCAATAGCTGACGGTTAAAATAAAATCATATTTTTCACAGGGTGTATCTTTAATGTCTTTGGTCTAAGTGTTCATATAAACTCATTTATTTTGTGTCACACTGTATGTATTAATTTTGATACGAGTACCTTGGAGTATCGGGCGTGCGTGTGTGGTACCACGAAACGAGGGACTTACATCCTCTCTATCAGTGTCTAAAAATCTGCCGTCGCAACTATATAGCTCAACTCACCAAGGTATGTCATGAAAGTAAAATACACTGATATTATTTCTAATTTATAGAGTATCAGTATCCTTATTATATACAGCCTGCTGATATTGAAAAAACACCACCTATTTCTGGTCCGGCTCGAAGGACCAAAAATAGGTGGCTAAATAATATCAAATCTAGCGAAAACAGTGGCGTACAATGATTTATATCATAAATATCAATCAAGTAAGCCTTTCTGACACCACTGGATTGAAAATTCCAAATCTTTCATAAATTTCAAATTTCATAAAAAGAATCCCCTCGTCATTTCTAACAAACACACGTAGTTTAATCAAAATCGACGAAAGTATTTGTGAGTTATTGATAAAAGAAAAATATTTTTAGTAAAACTTCAAACTTCTTTTCATGAAATATGATAACTAATCACCATCTAAAAATATGACATGATTTTAGGTATACTTTGCTTTCTTTTAGATGATTTACGTTATGGAAAGTAATTTCATACGTTATCAAAAACAAAAAAAAATCGAAAAAATGAAATCATATGTGAAAAACGTTTGTCAAAAGAAGTGTATCTAATTCATATCCAGGCATTTTTCACCGGTGAATATTTATTTGTTTTGATAACAGGTACTACCTTGAAGAGACTATTTGAATTGTGTACAAGATTTATAAGTAATTACGAGAAGTTACTGACTAGATAGATATATAGTTAGTCATTTAATTCCAACGGACATAAATACCCAATTAGAGGAAATGCTAAAGCACGCAACTTAGAAAAATAATAAATTATTTTCAACTGAATTACAAATATGTGAAATAACCATAAATAAAAATAGTACATGATAAAAAATAGTAAGTCCTATTTATATGCACATTGTGATGCTCGTACGGAAAGAACGCAAACTGTCTCTTTTCATGCAATCGCAGTTACATTGGTTATTCCACAAGGATCACATTTGGGACCACTGTTGTTCAACCTTTCTATTAACGATCTAATTCGCTGCGTTCATGAAAGTGAAGCTTTGCTATTTGTTGACGATTTAAATAGCCGATACATTTATTCTAGAAAACGACATAGATTGGCTATCTAACTGGTGTACGCAATATAGTATGTGTTCGAAGGCATCCAAATGCCATGTTCTTCGAATTCATCGAACATATCACCCAATCACTTTCGAATATGGTTTAAATAATCTGACTTTACATTCTGCTTTTGAAACCAAAGAAGTAGGTGTGATACTAGCTTAGCTATAAATCATACATTTCGGCTTTAATTCAGAAATTTATGAAGATGCTTGGCTTTATAAAGAGAACCACCTGCGATTTTACTATCACTACTATTGGTTATCACCATGAAAAATTATCTGCTATCTCGAATTGAAGTAATATGTGTGAATGATGACTTTTTTATTTTGTGGAGATTCATGATCATTTTAATTAAATTAATAAAAACACTTTTGACTCATGTCCACTAGTTATTTTATTTTTACGATCGGTTTCAGGTTTTACCCCATTATCAAGTTTTATACATAAAACTGAAATTTTGTTGAGTAGGAGGAAGTAGTTTGTAGTCCTTCCACGATACACTAAAGTTGTTTTGAATGACAGGTTCCATATCATTATCCCGTATTTCAATTCACTTCTGATGAAGATGCAGTGAATAGAGATCACTGAAATAATGTTTTGGAAATCTCTACTTTGCCCTACTTTGCAGTAAAATTTGTCCCCTCTGCCATATGCAGATGATATAACTTGGTTCATGTGCTAGGAAATAGTTAATTCTTGATCGAAAATAATACACAGATCTGATGAAAGATGTCACGGAGCCCTTTGAAATATTAAAATAAGAACAATTTCTGGAACATCACGCATTGATATTATTAATTTCAGACTGTAAATTCAAGCAGTCGGAGGTACTTTCAGTTATTTCATACATTTCCAGATCATCGGCATAGAGTTGCTGCTTTAATGAACTGATGATGTTTCAAAGATCATCAGTGAACAATAAGAATAAAGGCGGCCTGAGATTTGAACCTTGGGGAATGCCTGAAGTGGCTATAGATCGACCACAACGTCGCCAAAAACATGTGTTTTTCATTTGTCCTATCTATTGAAATACAGCTCACATTCATTGGGGAGTGGTCAAGATCATTTATTTACATTACTATACATTATATATTATATACTTTACTAAAGTAGTTAGTAAATGTATTAATATTCTGTGGCTTGTTGAGATTCTCCCCACCATACCTCATCATCATGCCTGATATTTATGTATTACCTCAATTAAATTCCAAAAGCTTGAGGGATCACCCAATATATCGTTTTCGGTTTTTCACAGAAACAATGTGAATTCATAATTCATTTCTGTTCGAAGTGACGTGAATTGTTGATAAAAAATGGTCTCATATTTTTTATAGTTAGAATGTGCCGTTTCTTTTTAATGATATTCGTTGAAAACGAAACATTATCTATATCATTGATTTGTTCAATATTACCCCAGTCAATATTCGATATCATTTTGTACATTAAATGGGCTTCAAAATCAACAGTCTCCGTGGAAAATATTGAAAAAACACAACATCCGTTCATTCAAATATCAACCAAATCGAAAATTGTATGAAAATGATTCTATCAGATTCTATCCGCTGTTAGGCACAAAAATGCCCATTTTTACGAGGCAATTTTCAAGAACGATATAGGTTCAACATATGGGTGGGAATAATCGGACGAAGATTGATTGGGTCAATTATCGTCGAAGGATCTTCAACAGGAGAGCGATACTTTGAATTTCTCCAAAATGAAATCGAAGGGTACTTAGAGAAATGATAAGTATTCCCAACAAGACGAAACACCTCCTTATAATACCGGACGTGGGGTTCAACATCTCAACAGATTTTTTCCCGATAGATGAGTGGGAGCAAATGAGCTCATGAGGTAGCCCGCAAAATCACCAGATTTAACACCACTCGATGTGCATGTGAAAAATCTAGTGTATCGCATACTGGCAGAAAATCGAAGTTATTCGAAAAACCCATGAGACGTTGAATAAAGTCGTGAGAGGAATGCCATATTGAATTCGATAATGTCGACCAAATCGATGACAGAAATAACTTGAAATTCTAATAAGGAATGTGTTCCACATTATAAAATATATAATTCTCAATTGAACGCAGTTGAGCCTGTTTTGTTCAAGTATCGACTACTCAGTTATGAACAAATTCATGAAAATTATGATTCGTGTAGTTTGGTGGAATGTTTGTTTACCAATTTTTTTTGAGGTCATCACGAAGTCTCTCTTTTGTGAAGAAGGACTAGTAGCCATATTCTAAGTTTTACTAAAAGTGAAATCAGCGTGATGCAATCATATTAGAAATACTTTTCCTTCTGAAACTAATGTCGTCAACATGTCAATGAAAGAAAGCACAATGTTCCATTCATTCCGTAAAATTTATCTATGAAATCAGCTGTTGTATATTTTAATAACGTAACTTGTAGCACTACTAATCGTGAGGTAAAGTCTTACTGTATTTATGTACTGTGTGTCCAATATAAGGATGTCTGAATTGAAAGGGTTATATTTTTAGGAGTGATTAATTTTTGGGAAAGAAAGTTTTTGGCTTTCTACTACTCCATCTTGATACAAAAAAATGAGGACTTTCTTTCAGTTTGTGTCTGAAAGTTACTTCTTTGCATGATCTACACATCCATGTATAGAGTTACTTATTTTCAAATTGATTATTTCCTTCCTTTCTTTGGAAGATTCCCTCATCCCTTTTTTTGTATCAAGATGAAGTAGTAGAAAGCCAAAAACTTTCTTTCCCAAAAAAGGATGTCTGTTGTGAGGTTCTTGGAAGCCATCAGAGATACGAAAAAAATGCCAAAATATTATACCGTATAACAAAAATATAAGTTCATGGATCATTTTCGTTTCGTTTTTGCATCATGTTGCTGCTGAATTTTTCTTTGTTACAAAATGGACTGTGGTTTCCAACTTGAAAAGAAGCTTGAAACGTCAAACTATTACACTTTATGAATTTCATTAGTTCGGACTTCCATTGCCTAATATGATCCTACTGTAATTCGAAATATGTGAAAAAACAAATGAAATTAGAATGAATAGGTAAAATATCAATTAAATTAAGCAATACAATCTCAAATAAAATGAAAATACAATAAAAATGAATGAAAAAAGAAACGAAATGAATATGACTACAGAGTAAAAAGACGTTTTGAATGTTTAGTATCCACAGCCGTCTTCGGGTGATGAATTGACTATTCCTCCGAGAGATGACTATCCAACGCTTTCACCTATCCCTTCTTCCCTCTGTCCGCTTCACCGGTTTAGCGACAGTTGACCGTTTGATGGAAGTTGATCGATTTCAACTTGGTAATCGGTTTAC